TTGAAGTGACTGTAGAAGGAGCCTACACAGTGCATTTATACTAGCCATCTAACTTATAGATGGCTAAGCCTAGTAATATGAATCACACCCCAAAGGTATATAACCTATTATAGCTTGACAATAAATTTGAATCTTTGCCTTCAGGAAATGAGCCTGAGTTTCACTTGTAAATACTGTCCCCAAACTAACCCAGCTCTTTAGAGGAGTCTTACTCAAAGAAAACAGAACCTTATAAGGAACAGTTGTGTCCAGTCGTCTTCCTTGGAAATTGCCAGCAGCTTTGCTACAATGTTGTTTTCAGATTGGTAAGTCTTTTCCCTCTATGAATAGTTCCAGGGGCAATTACTTACTACCGAACTCCTTTTAATGTGTTTATCATGTTACTGTCTGACTGGAGTATGGGGCTGTGTTCATGGCCAACACATGGATCATTCCAATCTCTGACAGATTTTTGGCAATCAGTGTGGATGACTGAAAAAAATGCATATTTCATAAATGAAATATCAGTTTGTGAAGGTTCTCACCTAACAGAGCTGAAAACTATGGTCCCTGAAAGCTGATTTCAGAGAAACCTCTACTTTCATCTTAAAATGAGTAAGGATTCAGGACTGACATCGTGGTCAATATTTCTTTCAGTAAGTCAAGATCTGACTTTCATTCTGGCAATCACATGTGGGCTGTGCCTCGTATTTGGGAGCTGTCTCACTTTCTGTGATGAAAATACGGCAAATAAGGATGTGCATTAGGTTTTACTTCAGGATCAGCATTGACTGTCCCAGTTTCAGGTGGACTTCCTTATAAAACTGGAGGAAAAGGCTGCTGGCTTTGTTACAGTTTGGCTGATAATTACCTGATGATTTCCTTTGAGACTTGATAGGAAACTCCAATGGTTGTAAAGATGACTGCAATACAAAAAATGTTTATTTGACTGTCTGAGGTGAAAAAGAAGATGCTTGAGGAGCAAAAGGGTTTTAATAGATTCCCTCCCCCCCCAAACTTCAAGAAGTATCTTTGCTCTTTCTGCCAGTATCACAACAGATCTGAACCTTAAAAGCTGGGGGTCCGTCAGGCATCAATCTTCATATTTAGTCACATCCTTAGGGGTATGGATATGCTAATAAGCAGGGACAATTAGTTTTGTCTCATTTTTGTTTTCCCCCTCTAAATGGAGAAGACTTATACAAAGCTCTTTTATGCTAGAGAATTTTGATAATCATTTGATGATATATTTCTGCATATAGTCAAAAATGATGGGATTCTACAAAAATAAAAATTTGAAATAGCATGTGAACTTTTAGAGCAACAAGAACATTTAGCTAACTGCTGACTACAGTGGCATAATCCTTTCTGCTGAGTCAAGTAACGACCTGTAGTTCCTTTTTAAAGGGAAAGTTCATA